GTGCGTGCATTCTTGCTGCAATGTTCTTAGATTATTTTGTCAAATCTATCTGAGCATCTTGGTTATTTCATTAATTGTTTTTTGTTGTCGGTAATGCAGGAGGGCAGACTAGTATCAGGTTAGTCTTTTCATTTTGTCAGCTTGTTTTCTAGTTTTTTCTGATGGTTGGTTAAAATCTCTAGCTCGTTAAAATAATATCTCGTTAATGTTAGGAAAGGCGGTTGAATAAAATCTGTTTAACAGAAAGGAAAAAAAAAAAAAAAAACGCTTTGCCAGTCGAGGCTTCTAGATGGATGTATTTTGGAATTGATGCCATTGTATAACAAATGCAACCTTGGAAGGTTGTAAAAGTAGAATTTCATCACATTTTGTCATTTCTCTCTCTCTCTCTCTCTCTTCTCCTCAATGGATAATAACTTATGATTTTGTTATTTACTAAAAAGTGTTCATGATATTTTAGAAAAGTTAATATATTTTGAATTTCTTTAAGGACGAAAAAGAAAACTCTATAGTTTACCAGAATTGTTAAAATACTCGAGTTGGGATACCTAGCTCCTCGTGTAAATTTCTTTTTCTATCTAAAAGATGGTTTAGGGCAATCCTGCATGGCTAAATGATGTAGGATGCTTTTTTTTTTTTTTTCCCTCCAATAGTCAACTTGTTCTCCCCCTGGCTCCCACCTCCAATTCCCAGATCGATGGGTTCCTCCACTGGAGGGTACCATGCATTTTTTTTTAAATCAAAAGATAAGATAAGAGGGTGTTTTTCTTTTCTTCTCTTCTTTTTTCCTTTTAAATTGAAGACTTGTATTATGTTTCTACTGATAATTATTATAACATAATTTAAAAATTGTTTCTCGTGAATGCTTATTCTCCTTTTTTCCAGAAGCTATGACTGTACAATTACATTAATACCAAATTCTGATGTAAAGGGCATGAGTTTGGACTTTACTTGGTTCTTCGGAAATAAGATCGTATGATTTATTATTTTACTATTAGCTTACATGATTACTGTTGTGTATTTATCAAATTCTATGGAAGCTTGTCTCTGCGTCTGGTTTTGAATGGAGATTAATACCTGGTTTTTTTCTTTTATGTTTTTATTTAGGGAAACATTCTTGATTTTGAATTCCATGATCATTCTGTTCTATTATTTTTATAAAGAAAATATTCTATTCTTTACCCAATAACTTCTGTCGCAGAGCTTTCTACCACAAATAGTTGTCTTAGGTTATTCCAGAAAAAAATTAAAAGTTTAGTCTTTTTCACTTGAGTCTATATTTGACTTCTTAAATAGGCTCTCATGTCATGTGTCAACAAGATATTGTTTCCAAAGAATAATTTGTGTATTTGTGACGTAATACTCAGATCATCTATGTTTGACTTTTATATTGACTATAACTAGTTCCCTACATAAACTTTTCTTTCTCCTATCATTTTTCTTGTCTCTTCTTTTTAAATGATTCAGGCTAACCAGTTTCTTGCGTTGTGTTGTAGACCATACTGGAGATGCTATTTTCCTAATACGCAAGCTATAATCTATGTGGTTGATTCAAGTGATACTGATAGGCTGGTGATAGCAAAAGAGGAGTTTCATGCAATACTTGAGGTAAAATATGGTCGATACTTGTTGCAAAATTGGTAAACAGAATGTAGAAGTTTGTCAAATGCTGAGCTTGTCAAATGCTGAGCTTGTGTGTTTCTGAAATTAGGAAATGAAGTTCAATGTTAGTTATATTGTAAATAATGCATTTAGACGCCTTTATTTGATACTGAGTAACATCTCAATACTGCGATTAACAGCTCCAACCCACCGCTAGCAAATATTGTCCTCTTTGGGCTTTTTGTTTCGGGCTTCCTCTCAAGATTTTTAACAGCTCCAACCCACCGCTGGCAAATATTGTCCTCTTTGGGCTTTTCTTTTCGGACTTCCCCTCAAGATTTTTAAAACGCATCTGCTAGTGAGAGGTTTCCACACTCTTATAAAGAATGTCTCGTTCCCCTCTCCAACCAATGTGGGATCTCATAATCCACCCCCTTCAGGCCCAACGTCCTTGCTGGCACACCGCCCAGTGTCCACCCCCTTTGGAGCTCAGCGTCCTCGCTACGCTCAGTGCCTGGCTCTAATACCATTTGTAATAACCCAAGCCCCGTCTGCTAGAGAGATGTTTCCACACCTTTATAAAGAATGCTACGTTCTCCTCTCCAACCGATGTGAGATCTAACCAGAGCTATATCTGGTTCCTAGATGTCAGTAGTAGTATGTTTGCACCGCCACTCTTTTCCTTCAGATTCCAATGTCTTACTTTTGCATAAGAAGTAAATTGAATGTTAGGTCCCAATGTCTTATAAAAAATGCTTCGTTCCACTCTCTAACCGATGTGAGATCTAACAGGAGTTGTATCTGATTCCTAGATGTCAGTAGTAGTATGTTTGCATCGCCACTCTTTTCCTTCAGGTTCCAATGTCTTACTTTTGCATAAGTAAATTGAAGTATGTTTGCATCGCCACTCTTTTCCTTCAGGTTCCAATGTCTTACTTTTGCATAAGTAAATTGAATGTCTCCGAACTTTTTTTTTTTTTTTTTTTTTTGGGCGG